AGGTTTTATCTGTGATATTTTTCCACTCGATAAGTGAGATAACGCGTCCTATGATAAATCACAACGATGTGCTCACCAAGCCATTTGTGAGAGGGCAGTTAGGGTGCCGCCGTACACTCTACTGTTACAAGCATCGTCACCGTGCACGTTCGGATTTGCACCTTCTTGTGCATATACACAAGCCTTTCCTTAGACACAAGCCCAGAAGTGGAATTGCTGGGTTGTAAGGATTATACATCTTGAACTCTAGTAGGTAACACCAAGATGTCTCTAAAGGGATATTTTCCCCAATGGTGTAATAAAATGGAACAGGGATTGGTAATCCCATTTCACATGACAGCGCGGGTTAGTGATTGGCTGGGAAGACAATAGCAACGGGGAAAGGAAAGCCACCCCCCCAAGTTTCCATTCTTAGTCTCGTAGCTGAAAAGAAGCATCCCCGTCCTCCTATGGAACTGGGAGCTCATCCCTGCTCCTACTTTCCCTGGTGACTTTGTTTTCCAACCGTGAGCCATTGGCAGGCGAGGCCCTCTGTCACGACCTGTTCTTTCCTGCGGCCCAGGCAGAGCGATTCCTGCTCTGTGAGGCATGTGCGGGTCAGTTACCCGGAGCTCCAGCCCACCCCGCTTCTGTGAGAGCTTCAGCATGTCAGGTGGTCACACTGACAGATGTTTGGGCTGTGCGTGAAGACTCTACCTTGAATTTGGGCTCTCACCCTCACTGATTTTGTGACCACAATCAAACATTCAACTTCTCAGATCTTGTTTCCTCATCTATAAAATGGGAATAATTGTACTTACTGTGCAAAAAAATTGTGAGGATTGGGGAAGCAAAGCAAAAAAAGCGCAATGCTTGGCAGACAGTGGCTGTCCAGTGAAAGGCTGAAGTGACTTGAAAATGTGTACTTTGCTCTTCACGTTTGGTGTGAGGTGGCCTGAAGTCCTCGCAGAAGGGAAGACTCCTGGGGATGGGGGAGAATCCTGCCCCCACTGCCTCTCTTCGTTTGGACCCAGTACCAGGGTCGGAAGACACTGAGGGCTCTTCAACCATTGGCCAATCCACGGTTTAGGAAGGACGTTGACTTCATAGGGTTTCTTAGGCCTAGCCGGGGTGGGGAGCCTGTGGCCTTCTGATTTCAAGATGGTTCTTTCTCAAGGAGGCAAGAAAAACTTTATTTTTCTCTGCTGTACCCCTTTTAATAAAAGGATTTGTTTTGTAAAATTTAGGTTCAGGCAAAAGGCTTCACTTAAGTACCTAAAAGGCCTCATGTGGCCGAAAGGCCTTGGAGTCCCACCCCTGCAAGGAGACTAGTAGAAGTAGTTTCTCTGGGACAGAAGACTCAATGTGTACGTGAGCCTTCTGTCTTGACCCTCTTCTTCGCCTTTGTGTAATTTTACTTGAAGAAGGTGGAGGAGCAATCTCCTCCCTCTATGGATAAAAGCTCAGGAATGCCAAGATGCCCCCAGAGGTCATTTTAGGGGGGTGCAAAGAAGATGGGGCTCAGAATCCATCATATGTATGAAGCTATGGTACTTTTATGTTGTTTCTTCTTCACAGTTCTCATTTTTTCCTCAGTAGCTGTCCCCCCATTTAATTATCCCTTTTGTCTTGGTTTCTCTCTCTGTCCCCCACCCCGTGTCCTCCCTGAGCACCCTCTCCTCACGCTTTCTTCCTTGTTCTCACGGCCTCCTGGCACCTCCACAATTCACCCCCTGTCCCCAAAGACCCTCATGCAGCTTTCTTGAATGAATGATTGCTGGAAGGAATAGAATTGTTAAAAGACAACAATGTTTTCTATGCACCAGTGTGTAAAATGTACAATAATAAAGCAGAATGGCACTAAATGAATTACGGTTTTTAAAAAAACAAATTATCAACCTGTCAAATACTATTAACGCTTGATTCTGTAGGAAGAATAAGCATGTGTTACGGAGGGAGCTTTTCTCCTTTGTAAAGCAAATACCAGCCCCTCATAACAGCTGGTTTCAGTGTCTTGAATGACTAACTAATAAAGGAAAGGAAAGGAGAGATCTCTCCAATGCATTGTTTTTCACTGTGTCAATGTAATGTGCTACTTTTGTGTGTAGTTCAGATATGTTCTTATATTCGAGTGAAGGGTTCATTACCTTTCCATGACTTAATGATATTCCGTGGAATAGGGCAAATGAGAAGGGGGAAAACATGAAAATGAAGGTGGGAGTGGAGGTGGGTTTTCAATGTATGAGGGCTGATTTGCCTCTCAAAAAAGAAAGATTTAAAAAGAAATCCAAATACATTGGGAAATGCAGTAGCTTTTCCCCTTCTTCCTTCCTTTTATCTTTTTTTTTTTTTGTCTTTTCTTATTAATGCTGAAAGGCAGCAGACAGATACACTGGGCCTTTAATGCAGTGGATGATTCTTCACAGATGCATCTCCACGTTAGTGTTAGGAATGGGAAACAGAACTACAGTATTGGGGAGGTGAGCTACATTAATGGTGGGCATCACAGAGACCATGGAAATCCCTCATCAACTCTTACAGGGTTATTTTCTTCTGTAACTTTGGCTAAAAGATAACCCAGCCACTGGGGGCGGGGGAAAGCCCAAACATGTCCTCACCCTTCAGGCACTCACAACGTCTTTGAATTCATCTAAGTCTCTTGGTTTTGTCCTTCAAAAGATGGTTACGTGACCAAAGCAGTAAGTGCACATGAAATTAGAAGTGGGGGAAACTATATTATAAACAGATTTAACTCAACTGGCCCACTGGAGATGCATATTACATCTTGGTTGAATGAGGAAATTTGCTATGAGCCATCTGGATGACCCCTGGCAAGAGTTCTAATTAATAAATACAGTATCTGGTTTTTGTTATACGTTAAATACAGATAATGCTTCTTTCTTGACCTTAATATAATAGAATACAGTCTTTAAAAGTGCTTTGGGAACCTTGGATCAAAAGAAATACAGAAATAGAAGTTACTATTAATGTCATCATTGCCTAACTGAAAAGAGTATTTTCCTATCACATTTATATATTTATAAAATTCCCACATCTTCTAATTACCTCATCATGCATTGCTTAAAATAACTTTTTTTTTTTTTTTACAAAAAGCAAACTTTAGGTTAGAGGAGTAATTGCGTTTATAGTATTTCAACTAGAACTAAATGGATTTCAATAGCTAACCCGAAACGTAAAAACGGTGTTACTTTGGCCTACGTTTGCATTTAAAGTGTCCAAATACAAGGGTTTAAGTCAGAAAGACATGAAAGCCCATGGAATACTTTCCAGTTTCTGTTTGTTGCTTATGCAATTGAAGGCTGTGTATGATTACAGTGTTAGTTGCATTTAAGTGCTTTGTTTTCCCTTGGGTTACAAACATCTAAGGGAGGCGGGAGGATAAGAGGATAAAGAGAATTGAAAAGAATTCTCAAAAGGCATTGTGAAGCCCATCAGCTGAGGAGTGAGTTATAAATGTATCTAAGGAAGAGACATTTAATTTCCTTCCACATAAGCTTGAGGCTGAATAGAAGAACTTACCCGGCATAACTTTACTTACCAGGAAAAACGAATTGTAAGAACTTCTTGGTGTAGGGGAAAGTAACTCAAGCCATTTGGTAGTAATTATCACTTACCTTTGTTCAGCATGTTGCAGTTCGTTGTCCCCTACAATTTCTACATAATTCAGTTCCACAAATATTTGTTGAGTGCCCACTAAGTTCCAGGCATAGTGCTGGTTTTAGGAACATAAGGGCTCAAAGAAGTCATAGCCCCTACTGGCAAGGACTCACAGAGTGTGAGATGGACCCATAAGATAAATGAACATAAGGTAATATGGCAAATTATGCAATACTAGAAAGCATAAATCACTAGGAGGATGTAGAAGAGTGGGCGATTAATTCTGCTTGGGCTTGCATTTAAATCAACCCAGAATGTGTATTCGTGGAAGCATTCATTCCTTCATTCAAACAGCAAGTATGTTTTGCTTGCCTGCACTGTGACAGACGTTACGCTAGTCAAAGAATGACTTGAATGATGCACAATTATAAGCTGAAGCATGCTGCATAATAAATGAACCTTGCTTAGTCTGTGGTCTTCCTCAGGGATGCCTTTCTTTATCTGGCCATGGAACTGGGGAAATGGTAGGAGTTCACCAAAGTGAAAGAGAGAAGGAAAGTATTCTAGACAGAAGGAAGGGCGCGTGCAAAGTGCTGTTGTAGGAAGCAGAGCTCAAGTTACCAGGAGAAGGAAGTGAAATCTGCCACCAGTTGCCAGAACATTTACATGGCCATACATATTTAGCATTTTCTTATTTTAAAAAAGGACAGCTCGCAGGCTGAAGACCGAACGCTCCTGCCCTGGTTCCAGGTCCCAGACATGGGGTCCAGCCTCTCAGTCGGTTGAGGCCGGTTCGGGGGATGAGGGTTGGGATGAGGTCAGTATAAAGGTAGAAGAGGTGGCCACTGGTCTCCACAGCATGAAGGATAACAGAGCCTCAGTGCGATGATGTGGGCAATGTTTGCAGTGGAATGAGCAGTAAATGAGAGGAGAGGAAAGAGACAAAATGTATACAGTTACTTTGAGATATTTGATGTGAAAGCAAGAAGAGACTTGGGGCTCTGGATGCAGAGGGATATGGAGTCAAGGGGAAGATTTGGAAGATAGAGAGATGAGCACATTTGTGCTAAGGCAGGAAACAGCTACTTGCACAAAAGAGTGGAGGGAAAATCAATGATATCAGGTCTGGAGAAGGCTGGAGGAGATTGGACCCAAGCGAAATAGTGAGGAAAAGTTAATTCCTATTTCCTAAGTAGAGAGGAAAAAGATGATTGCTCTGGTATAGGTAGGATAGTGGGTATATCCTTTTGACTAAAAACACAGAAAGGTTTTCTAATCACTGCTGTCAACTTTTCTAAAAGATTAAAATCCCTTTTCTCCTGTGGCCATCAGGGACTCTTAATAGTAAGTGTTTAATTCCAACACTTTTAATCAATGTCATTCTAAAAATTTGACCAGCCTGGTTGCATATTATAATCTCATATTTTATTTAGAGTCTTCTTCTCCACAAGAATTCAGGTTTTGGTCTGCATGGCCTTGAGATGTAGATGGGTTGTGGATAGGGTCTGCTCGCTCACTCTTTGAACTCTTCCATCTTCCTGGAATGGGTGATGTTCCTGCAATGAAGAGAAGAGATAGCCAAAGACAGTCTCTGCTCAAAAACAGTGGGCTGCACTCTAAGTTGTGGTTCTTAACTTCTGATCTAGTGTTATTATTTTCAGATTCAGAGAGAGCAGGTAAAGACTCCAATTTTCCAGCTAGTTTAGTCTCAAACCCAAGCAACTCCTCCAGTTAACATTAAGAACCAGAAATAAATGGATTCTTACAGCTGACCCTCATCTCATGGCAATTCACCACCTTTTTGATGCTCTAGACCTGTGGTCCCCAACCCTGAGTCTGTGGACCGGTACCAGTCCGTGGTCTGTTAGGCTGCATGGCAGGAGGTGAGCAGTGGGCAAAGAGAATGAAGCTTCATTTGTATTTACAGCAGCTCCCCATGTCTCACATCACCACCTGAGTTCTGCCTCTTGTCAGATCTCCAGCGGCATTAGATTCTCATAGGAACATGAACCATACTGTGAACTGTCCTTGTGAGGGATCTAGGTTGTGTGCTCTTTATGAGAATCTAATTAATGCCTGATGGTCTGAGGTGGAGCTGAGATGGTGCTGCTAGCGCTAGGGGGCAGCTGCAAATACAGATTTTCATTAGCAGAGAGATTTGACTGTACAGAGGCCGTAATAAACCAATCATTTGCAGATTCATATCAAAACCCTATCAGTGAGTGGCAAGTGACAATAATAATAGAAATAAAAGGCACAATATATCTAATATGCTTGAATCATCACAAAACCATCACCTCTCCCCTCCCCACCGCGTCCATGGAAAAATTGTCAAAAACATTGGAGACCTCTGCTGCAGACATTTTCCCCCAGTGTGCTGAAGTCCACAGTAAGCCTTGACCTCACAAACATCCAGTCCCACTCCCCAATAGCCCATCGGCTCTGCTAGGTAGATCACCTGTGTCTCTCCAGGACTGCTGGAACCCGAGAGAACGGTCCATGCTCTCCTACTCTTGTCGTACAACATTCTATTTCTTCTAGAGCTCATCTCTCAACTTCACTAACACAAGTCAGGTCAGCAGGCTTTGCAACCCAACAGCCTATTAACTGGGTGACAACTGTAAGACTCACTCCATTATTATAGATAGGGAGGCACCAACTCCATGAGCAACTCTTGCAGCAGTCCTCCTCCACTTCAGAAAGGGGAATGGATCAAGAAACATTTTCCCTCCCTTTCCCTCTCCCTCACAAATCCCACTTTCCTCAAAAACATGGCTTCCCACTCCTGCCTGGCTTTCTCTCTCAGATCGGGACAGGGTTTGTAGAGCAGATACCTTCCAGTCAATCCCTGGAAAAGGTGACAGGAACCACAACGGCCATTCCTCTGAACTGAGAGTTTGGGGTACGTTGTGGCTGACATATCTGGAAAAATTAGAAAAGATCTACTTAGAATTTTATCCCATTTTACTGCATGGGTATATTAGCGGGTGGATGACAATAGGTGAGAGTGAAGGCTTGGCGTAGAAGCTAGGCAGGTAACAAAGAAGGATTTCCCACATTAATGAGGGTTCACTAGACGTCAGTGATGACAAGTTAGTACAGGGATCACCTGCCCTATTGTGTGACCCTCTCCACCACACTTGGCTGTGCAGATGCAAGCATGGGCACAGCATGTTTGGATTCTTACCCAATTCAAAATGCAAAAACAGGACAAAGGGATAATCGAGGGGCAAAGTAGTCTGTGCTAGTAGCAAGACAGTTATTGACAAGTAGGGCCATGGGATCCAAATGACTTCAGAGAAAAATGTGGAAAAAGTGGATCATAATTTTGGAAAGAAATAGAAGGATCTTTGGACTGAGATATCAATGGATTTGAAGAATGTTTCTAGTGGAAGTTACTGAAAAAGAAAACTGGACAGTGAGGATGCCATGTCAAAAAAGTAAACACTTAAGTCAATAATTTGAAGATAGATCAGTTGCAGGTTATGACAAAGATGGAGATCCTTGGGGTGCAGTGAGGGAAGGGTAACTCACAGGAGGTCAAGAACTGAGAAACCAGTTTTATGCATGTTATGCAAGTTCTAACAACTTTGGTGGATACAGGAGGGGAAAAGAGGTTAGTTAGATGGCAACAAGGAGAGCTAGAGGTGGACTTGACACATGGCACGAACCTCAAAGAAGCAGTTTTAGCAAGAGGGTGAATAAGTATGGAAATGCCACCAAGTATAATCAGGAAGGATATCTCCAACCTCCAGACTCTGGAAGAAGTGTCAAAGTGAGAGAATACAGAGCCAAGTTTGCAAAGAGAGCAGGGTCCTCAGGAGACACGCAGGATCAGACAGTCAGCTAAGCCAAGGAATTGGTCATAACATTCTGAACAATTTTTGGAGGAAATGTTCTCCACATCAAGCACAGGAAGGCCTGATGGATGAGAGAGGAATGGCAGACAGAGGAGCAGAGGCCAGGGGTGGGAGGTCTGGGTGCAGAGGGTTCTTTCATTTTGACAGTGACAGAGATGAAAAGGGACAAGACCCATGTGGTTAGTGGTTCAATCTCAATAGTCTCTTTGAGGAAAATGTGTGTGAGTCCCAAAGAGCCAGAGAGTTGGGTATCTGGAGCTTTGGTCATGTGAGCTCCAGAGTCTAATCTCAGCCTCTAGGAGTAGTGTGGTGGCAAATCCAGGTGTGCAGCTTGTGAACTCCTCCACATGGGGTAGTGGCATTTCAACTAGTTAGAGAGCAGATGAGATATGACAGCCTCTGTCCCTCTACTTCATGGCTAGAGATGGTAGTGATCCCAGGGAGTGCATTCATTCATTTACTCATGCATGCATCCATTCTTTCCTTTATTCATTCAATAAACATTTTTGAATACTTACTTTGTACCAGACTCTTCATATATATTGATGAAAGAAAGATATTATTTCTGCCTTCATAAGGACAACAGGGAGCCTTGTGGGTGACAAGGGATCACTCTGTACTGTGGGGAAAGAATTGTAGAAGGCAACAAAGGGAGGAGTGAGGGGTTAGGTGGATTCAGAACTCACGCATATCAGTTCCTGGGAATGCTATTGCTATCCAGAACAACCTGCCTGTCATTTTGTTCTTTGTGAGCCCATTTTCAATGGTCCACGTTTTCGGAACCCTTGGAACCACACCACCTCCCCTTTGTCACTTCCCTCCACAGTAAGTATGCAGCATAACCCTCAACTAGGGAGTCAGCTAACATTGAGTAGTTATCTTGAAGTTCAAGTTATGCATAGGTGGGTGAATTACAAGTATCTGGTGTCATCACTCAATTTGGCTTGTCACATTCTAACAAAATGATCAAATTTTATAGACAGTTACCACTTTAATTTCTAAGTCCATCATTTCTACCCTCAGTTTATGCTCATCTGTACTTCCAGCTCTCCCCCACCATCACCAGGTCACAATACTCCCCAGGCCCCCTGTTCCCAGGCATTAGCATGCAAACCAGTCCCCTGTTGGGACAAATTGCTCTTGGTGTCAAATCCTTACTTTTCTGCATTTTCTAGGCAGACCTGTAAAGTGGTTGGGCTCATGACTCTGGAGTCAAACTGCCTGGGTCAAATACCTTGCTCAACACATAGTTATGTGACCTTGAAGGCTATTAAACGCTTTATGCCTCATTTTCCTCATCTGTAAGGTAGAGTGTACAAGTAGTTACTTCACAGTGATGTTTTGAAGCCTAAAGAGATGATTCAGGCAAAGCACTTATCACAGCCTTGTCCATAGCAAGTGCTCAATGTCAGCTGTTACTGTGTGCACGACTGTCACCACCACCTTCCCCATCACTGCAGCACCACCCCACCACTGTCACTGCCATCTCGTTGTGATCACTCACCCTTTTCTTTCCACGTTCCACAGCATCTCTCCAAAGCAGATCAATCTATAAAACTTTTACTCCCCCAGTTTCTTTTTCCCTCTATTCTTCTCACTAAGCTAGTCTCTATTTTACTTTCAAAGTATTACAATATCTAAAGCCCACTTTAAAAATCAAAACTCGTTATTTAGTGCAATTGACCATAAAAAACTAGAGCTATCAAAAAAGTTCCTTTTAGCTTCATGATTATGACCCTGCCACAACCATGCCTGCCTCTGTCTCTTTCTCGTACACACAAGCAAATGCTCACACTTACATCCAAAGCTCAAGACCATGGGGCCTCCTTAATCACCCCTTTACTTAGGTTTAGAACCAGCGATAAGAACTTCCAGGGCACCAGCCTCCCTATCATCCCAGAGAAAACTTCTTCCTATTGGGACTACTCACTTTTTAAATTGAAAACAGTAGCTTCCAAGACATTGGAGGGCTCTTTCCCAGGTCTACATCCATAAAACAAAATTAATAAACAACCACATTTTTGTGATTTCCATTGTTTACAAAGCACATTAGCAAATTTGATCTACATTGGAGCCCCAGCATGGACATGGAAAATCACTGGTGTCCCCTTTTACTGATGAGCAAACTCTGCCGTGAGATTAGATGAGGTGCCCAAGTCCCCCCAGCCGGGAAACACCAGAGCAGAGCCCTGAACCTCAGGCCGTGCTGTACACACACGCTAGGCCCAGGCCCCATGTGAATTCCGACACTATTCCCAGCCCCAGACCGGGGGGCTCTGGGCAGTTTGCACAGGGTTCAGGCTGAGGTTAAAGCTGTCACACTCCCAAATGTGTAAATGCGTGAACTTTTCCCTGCGTGTGTAGAAAATAACTTTCTCAGGGAAAAGCTCCTCCTTAAATTCTCGGGGAGAGCATTCTGGAATTACGTCCACGTATAGCTTTTCAGAAAAAATTAAGTAGTAGATAGTCTGACCCTAGCCCTAAATTAAAGAGATTGGATTGTACTTGACTACTCTCAGACCAGCCCAGTGTTCAGATTTTCTCAGGGCTTCTAAGAGTCCCTTAAATATTCACAAAGGCATAAAGGATCCCAAAATCAATCTACTGACTGCTGAAGGTTGAGAACAAAGAATTCTGGTTTCCACACACACACACACACACAAATATATATTCATTTGAAAAGCCTAGCACACATATATATATACATGAAATAATAAAATCGATATTAGTCAGTTTTCCTACCGAGGACAATTTTTCTGCATACAGATGGATAAAAGAAGAGAAAGCATTTTGTTCCAAACCTACTCAAACTCCCAAATCACCCATCAAAACACAAGCCACACACTCAAACACAAGCATAAACACTGAGGGCAAATTCCATGTGTTAGAGGAGTGAAAAAGCAGAGGGCATATGTATGCACGACGCTTCCTCTTCTCACTCGTGGGTGCAGAATAATTTTTTCACTTGCTAACTCAGTGTCAGAGTCTGAGACCAAATTCAGACTCAATGGCCAGGGGACTGAGCATGCGATGTTTGGCAAAGCAATCATTACAAAGAAACCTCACTTCTAAGGAAGAAAACCACGGATACCCCAAGGAGGCTTTGACCTGTATATTTGTTCTTTGATGGTAAAAAGGAATCATGCTTCCATAAACTCACTAGCAGTAAAGAATTTACTACAAGCTTTAATTTTAATCCCAGTACAGAACACGTTTTGTTGTGATAAATCCCAATAGCCTATAAAAATTAATCTTGACTTTGCCCTCAGCTTGGTTATGAAGCAGCTTAGCGCAGGTTAACTCAAAGCAGGACCTGGCATCAGAGCTCTGGGCCCGGCACTTGCTGATTCCGTGGCCTCAAATGAAGTCACTGAGACTCCATAAGCCTCAGCTTCCTTGGCTGTAAAGAGAGAACAATGATAGGAACTCCTTCTCAGAGTCTCTGTGGGGATCAACTGGGGGAATTTGTGTGAGAAGTACATGTGGGTACATGTATCCATGTGTGTGTATATATATGTACATGCATGTATTTATGCACATAAACACACACTTACATATATACATGAAAACACTCTTTGAAACCTGTTAAGTTCTAACAAGTGATAAACTAATTTTAAAATAAAATTTAGGCTGCCCTGTTGTAAGGTATTTATTATAATGAGATTTCTCCTTTAGTAATTATGGACTAGTTTTGTTATTGCTCATAGGTTGAATAAAATATTTATGAGATAATAAGATCAGAATTGTCATTAATACTCATAAAGTTTTTGTCTTTACTACTAACTACCCCAGAAAATATTAAGCTCACGAAATTTATCTTATTGGCTGTATTTTGAATAGGAATTTATAATTCCTACCATTTATATCAGATTCCACCTATTCACATATTATCCTCAGGTATCTTTTTTGGGTTTTGTATTAAAGGGTTGTGGTGCAGTGGAAAGAATGTTAGCTTTGCAGTCACAGAGGTTTGAGTTAGACCGTTCACTCTGATATATCTTAGCTGTGTAAGTGCAACGAATTCACTTTTGTGTCTGTTATTGCTGTCAGTAGCTAACATTGGCTGACAATATGCTCCAGGAAATGTGCTAAGTGCTTCACCACACTATCTCTTTTAATTCTCCACGTACCCAATGAAGTAGATACTAATTTTCTCCGTATTTTACAGGGAAGAGAACTAAAGTGCAAAGAGGTTTATATGACTTTCCTAAGGTCATACAGCCATTAAGTGCTAGCGGGATGTTTTGCACTCAGCTCATTCCAGACCCATGCTCCTAACTGTAAGAGAAGGTCATAAAGTACCACATTACACAATGGCTACAACTTCAACCACTACTACTAGCAACTGTCACCACCTGTAAGAGTTGGTTACATCTAAGCACTTTGCTCCATGTTTTATATACAGTTTATCATTTTTGATCCTTATGTCAACTTTATGAAATAGGTACAATTTTCATTTATTTATTGATGAGAAAAGTGATAGTTAAGAGGTTACTGTCAAACATTTTGCCCAACTCCCACAAGTCACCAAAGACAGAGCCAAGATCCTGGCCCAGATCTGCCTAGATCCAACTCCAGGCATTTCCAGTGGGCTTCATTTATGAGTAAAGTTCTTGCCTCTCAGCAGCACAGCTCAGTTTCTGGTTAGGCTGGATCTAGAGCCTTGATCTGACCTGAGATTCAGGTTCGAGGCCTGGGCATGCGGTGAGGCAGCCGGGGGCAGGGACGCTAAGGGAGGGGGGACCTGGGCTGGGGGCCGGGCGTGAAAGGTAAGCGATAGTCTTCAGGAAGGAAAACCCGGAGACTTAACAGAAGGTGCTAACATCAACTCAGATGCACGGCCCAGCGCGACCAGAGTAAGTGCTACTCCAGTCCCGTTAGGCAGCAGTACTGGGGCATCCCTCGAACTCGCGTGGGAAAGCCAGCTCGTGAGACCGAGGGCCTCTCTCACTCACGCGTGAGTCAGAAGGTGGCTGTCAGGGCTAAATGAGACATTCCTCACGACTGGAGGTCTTTTAAAATAGTATCCAGTGACACAAACACATAGTTGGTTCTCTTCCCCACCCCACCATCTTTTCCATTAACCCCCACGTCCTAGGGCGACGGGCTCTGCGTCCCTTCTCCCGAGCTGAGGAGACGGTACAGTCTGGCGGCTAAGGATGAGGTGATGCGACACTCAAGGGCACAGACTCTGCTGTGCAAACAAACGGGTGTTTTCCTTTTTATTCCTACAAACACTCAAGTTCTGTTTCAAGACTCTATTTTGCTCAATGACAGAAATCTTCATCCAATTATTTCCAGGGCATTTTTCCTCAGAAGTTTTATGAATTCCACCTGCTCTCCTCCCCACCCTGTGGTCTTCTCCCTTTCCATTTGGTATTAATCGAAATTCTGGAAAGCGTCCACAGCCTCTTGGCAGGGCAGTGGATGGAGGTAGGAGAACATCTGGCATAGGGACAGTCTCTTTAATCCTGTCCTTGTCCCTTGGTCTCTGTCTAATCTCACTTATTTCTCTGTCTTGGTGCTACTCGGAGTAAGGGGGCTCAGAGCCCACCATCCTCATGCTCCTTTGGCAAGTATTTAAAGGCTGAAATTCCGTAAGGCTCAGTCTTAGGGCTTCCTCCCTTCTCTCTATCCATTGTCTTCCACACCTATGGCCTTAATTATAATATGTAGTCCACTTCTTTGAGTCATTTTCATGGTTCTTGCATCTAACTAATTAACTACTCATCCATCTTTTACTCAGACAACAACTGTTTATGGAATCATTACCACGTGGCAGGCACTGTGCTCGGTGGCTATAGCTTTGAGTAATTAGGATGAGGTATGACCGCATGGAGCTTCTGTTCTGATCCCCATCACCCCATCATCATCATCATCATCTTCATCACTTCTTAGTGAGCTCTTACTCTAAACCAAGTATCCTTGAAATAGATGACATATATTTATTTGTGTTATCTGCACATCACCACAGTGGGGATAGGTAATATTATTATCTGGACTTTACACATGAGGAATCTGAGGCATAGAGAGATTATGTCAGGATTCAAACTTAGGCATTTTTGCTCTATAGCCCATGATTTAAATCACCTTGCTACACTCCTTTCTACTGGATGTGTGACCTAAATATTTGCTTCTTTAAAGTCTAACAAGTGAAGTGGAGTTGATGTTCATTATAGGTGGGTATTAGGCAGCTAAAACTCTCTGGGAGAGGTCACTGCCACTGTAACCCTAGTTGTTGGTTCATTCAACAAACATCTTTTGCATTCTTACCACGTGCTCAGTATTGTTCCCAACACTGAGAAATACAGAGGCAAACAAGATCTGCAAAAATCCTTCCCCTCCAGGGGCTTACAATCTGGAAATTAGATGTATTACAAGTAGAATGGGAGATTTGGGGAATGGTAGATACATATTTTTTGTTTTATACTTAGACTCAGCATATCACTTTGGGCTCAGATCTGAAGCCATTTCTCTGTTTTTAAGGTGATAGCACAAAGTTTAATACACAAGTCCCATCCTAACCATTCAAAATGGCAAAGTAAAATTGCCAAATACGTGTGTATATCTGTGTCTTGGAGGCTCAGACAGTACACATATCTCATCTTGAATGTTGCTGGCGATTGATTTTAAGCTTTCTGGTCTGAGTAACTGGGATATTCACCATACACACAACTGATTAAAGACTTACCTCTAGGATGTATAAAAAACTCCTACATAGGAAAAATCAAAAGACAGACATCCAATAAAATGGACAAAATATTTAAACAAGCACTTCACAAATTATCAAAAATTGAAAAGGGACTCAACCTTACTAATCATTAGGGAAATGTAAATTAAAACATAATGATATATGACTATATACCCATCACAATGGCTGAAATTAAAGAGACTGACAATACTAAGTGCTAGTGAAGATGTAAAACAAATAGGACTCTAAAACCTTGCTTCTGGGAGCCCAATTGGTACAAACACTTTGAAAAATTATTTAGAACTATTAATTACAGAATCTCACATTATTCCTCCCACGCATAGATGTGCATGCTCCAGAGCTATTTTACACAAGCATTTATAGCTGCACGATGTTTTTAGCCCCAAACTGAAAGTAACACAAATGTAAATAGTCAGATGGATAGATGAATTGGGATATATTCCTCCACTGAAATATAAGCACTAAGACTAATGACATATACATGACATGGGAAAAGTTCACAACTATAATGTTGAACAAAAGAAGCCAGA